CCCCCCTTCTCTCTTGAAACACAGGGAGCTGGCAGAGGAGGTGGGCATCAAGTCGTGGGGCCGCGTGCCCGCGCTCAACACCAACCCCGTCTTCATTGCCGACCTGGCGGATGCCGTGCTGGAGGCCCTGCCCTACGCCGGCTCCGTGGCCGGCAGCGCGGTTGGTGACGCCCTGGTGCCCATGGGTGAGTCGAGACGGGGAGGGCCGGAGGGGTGGGGTGAGGTGGGAGGGAGGGGCCGGGGCGAGGGGAGGGTGGGGTCCCGAGGGCCGGCGCAGCAAGGGTTTTCAAAGCCGTGGGGCAGGGAGGAGCGGGCGCCAGCGGTGTCAGGCGCTGTGGCTGGCCGCTGGGCTCGTGGCACGCGATCCGGCCTTGGTGTATCATGGTAGTCTGTGCTCAGGAATGCCTCCGTGGACCATCACCTGTTTGCCTGTGCTCGCCGCCCACCGACCCCCGCCCACCACCTCAGCGCCGCATGCCCTCACCCGCTCCCCTCCTTGCCGCGACGCGTGCTGTCCAATTCCCCAGGCCCCGGATTCGCCAGCCTGGCCACTGCAACGTGCTATGCTCGGCGGCCCGCGGCCCGCGGGGGTGCCCTGCAGAGCGCGCTGTGGGCCGCCGCCACGTATGGCGGCGGCGGCCCCCTGTGACGGCCCGCTGGCTGGTCCAGTGGGGCCCTCGCAGCCCCGGGCCGACCGAGGCGCCCATGTGTGCTTTCATCCTCGAGATGGTTTTCCCCCCCGCGCCAGCATCAGCGCGGCAACGAATCCCCTCTCCGTCTCAAAGAATGGCTTCCCGACGACGAATTCGTCGGCCCGGCCGCGGCCAGCCGCGCCGTCACCCAGCACAACCCCCTCCTGTGCCTCCATCCCCGCCCAAACACATGCCCCCCCAGCCATACCAAGCAGCGTGCACCCGCCCCTCCGAATCCCTCCCTCCCCAGGCGAGCTGGACGCGCTGCTGGAGACGTACGACCGGGACAGGCGGCAGCTGCCCGCCCCCATCGGCGGCTGGGTCTGGGGCTGGACGCGGTCCGCGGAGACGTGGAACGGCCGTCTGGCCATGCTGGCGCTACTCTCCGTCCTGCTCCTGGAGCTGGTGACGGGGCGGGGGGCCATCGGCACCCTGCTGGCCCTCATGCCGCGATGACGTGACCCGGCATGCAACGGCCCTGTACCCTCAATAACATGCATACCCTGTCGTTTGGGTTCAGAAAACCACCAGCAAGGAGAGGGCCCAGACGTTACGAGCTGCAGAAGCGAGCCTTCAGTCGCACAGGTCGATGACGTCCACCTCCGTGTCTGCGGCATACCCTTGGAAGAGGGCGGGAATGTCGGTGGCGGCATGCAGGTCGCCGTTCGCCGGCATCGCGTACACCGCACGCTCCACCTCCGCCTGCCGCTCTGCCAGCGAGGCCAGGAATGCGTCCCATCGCTGGGGCCCCACGCCGGCGGTGGAGCCCTGGAGGCCGGCGGGGGAGCCCTGGAGCGCGGCGCAGGCCTCCTCGGCCTGGGCCCTGTAGAAGGCGCGGGCGGCGGCGTACCAGCGCATGCAGCGCCGCTCCAGGACCAGGTAGCCGACCAGGGGCCGGGGCCAGGGGTCGCACGCCAGCGGGTGTCCAAGCCCCGCCTCGCAGTGTTGCAGCTGCTGGATGAGTGGCGAGCCCTCAAAGGTCTGGGACAAGGGGGTGGGGCATAGGAGTGGGAGAGGTGGCATCACAAGCGGGGCAGCAAGCTGGAGGAGGATGCGCACAGTGAGCATCTTCTGGCACACGGCTGTTTTGAGCAGAGAGCCTCACAAATCCTCTCGCCTCCAGCAGCTGGGCAGGGGTCTGCTCGAAGCAGCTTGGCGCCGTCTCCTTCTGGCTTTCTTCCAGGGACGCATGCATGCCTTCCGCCAGCTTGGCAGACTCGTCTGCTCAATTGTGGATGTGAATGAGAGCATCGGTATCTACATGTTGGTCGAACCATGGCCAAGCCTTGCATCCACCCGAACCTGTATGGGCAACAAGCAGCTCACCTGCGTGCTCCTGATCTACAGCCAGCCACGTTTGCGCCTCCTCAGCCCAGGCTGTGGGGCTGGAGGCATGCTCCTCTGTGGCATCCAGAGCCTGACAGGCCCTGACAAGATGAGGGTGGGACAGAGCCATTGGAAAAGTCCAGCCAAAGCCTAACAATGGCAAGGACGCTGCCACCAGGCCCTGAGCTGACCGTCCAAATGACAACATGGCTCCTGAGGGCACCATAGACTTACCTTGCTGCTGAGATACCCGTCTCAAGGAGAAGGTGCAGTGCTGCATCCTTCTTGTCGACCGGCGAGCTCACTTCGCCCTGTGAGCGTCCCCTTCCCACACTCTCCTCGCTGCTGCTCGACGACTGGTGCGATGACCCTGGGTTACTGCAGCCATCTGTGCTATCGTCTCGGTGTTGGGATCCGCTGGCATCGGAGGAAGGTGTCCCGCTGGGCATGGGTGTGCCTGCACAGCCAGCTCCCCTGCCACTCTCAGGCAGAGCGTGGTGCTTCGCACTCTGGACCATTCGCATTCTGTAACAAACTACTGCATCCTATCTCTCCAAGTCTTTAAGTAGTCTGGTAGACTCAAACTGAATCTGCTCCCTCCCTGGGTGGTGTTTATGTCCTGATATCGACTGACGCCGGTCTTTGGAACAACACAGCCGCGATCGGTCAATTGACACCCCGCATGGAGGTCTAAACGTGTACCTATAAATCAGTTTTGATAGTAAGTCGTACTATCTTGTGCGTGATGCATCGCCTGAAGAAGCTCACCTGGTCCCGGCAGATGTGCGCGCTCGAATCACGCGCAGCACAGTGTCGGAGTGTTGACGAAGGCCAGCGACGAGCATAGGCACCCCACATCAGCTATTGTATCCACCGGATAAAATGGTCAAAGTCTAGATGGTTAGTGCTTCCCCTGACCTCCTCGCGACCTCCCACGAGCAGGACCTCACCGCCGTCAACACGAACATGTCGTTCTGGAGGTGCTGTTTCCGCGCCTCCCTGACAAAAGATGGGGACAAGGAGGGGACAAACGAAGAGGTGAGGATCGCATCGAGTGCTCGATGGGATGCTCTGGGTGCCCATTCGGAGGGCCACCCCTGTATAACCCCTTCCACCTCGGCGGCGACAGGTGGCTGGACCAGAAAAGGAGGCCCCTGTGTACCAGGATGCAGGGGCAGCCAGCTCCAGCAGCATCCCAGCCCTGCACTCCCAGTTGTATGCACGCAGCACCGTCTCCACGGGAGGGCAATCGCTCCCGGAGGACCAGCCCAGCACCAGCGGCCGGGGTGGGGCCCCTCACACGGCGAGGCCGGTCACGGGCCGGACGACGACTCGTGCCGCGCCCACCCCTCGCGCTTTCCCACAGGAGCCCCACGACACGGTGAGGTCCGGTTCCTCCCAGCCGCGGCCTGGGGGCACTGCACGCATCGCCACCGCCCGGGCAGCCGTGGCGGTGCCGCGAGGGCCGGGCGGCTGCAGCCCCGCCGGCCCCAGCCCCGCCATGGCCGCCTCGCACCGTCTGCAGCCTGGAAGCGGCCCGAGCCGTCGCAGCCCCCGCAAGGGCCGGGAGCTCTGCCCCCTCCCCGACCCAGAGCAAGGGATGGCGCAAACAGAGGCGCTGCTGAGAGCTGGCACCCTAGCGGGGCTGCTGGCGGCCATAGAGATGCTGCGGCGCATGATCCGGTTTCACCCCTCCCTTGTCCGCGACTGCTTGTGAGTTATTCGTTGTTGAGGAAAAGGGGGTAAAGGGAGCGTTGGCGAGTGCATGGCAAGGCCCTGCCTTTCACTGTCTCTCTCTTTCAGCACCGGCCCCTCCCTCCACCCAGGGACGACATGGTGCGCCTGATGCAGCGCTGCCTGCACCACGCTGACTCAGCGGTACTGCAAGCGGCGCTGCTGGCCGTCGGCGACATGGTGACCAGCTATGGGGATGCCATGCTGCGCTACGACAGGCCAGGGGCCAGGATCCCGGGCAGCAGCCTCCTCCTGGACATCGCCCGCCTCACCCGCAAGGAACTTGGCCTGGCCCAGGCCGCCGATGCAGTCCTCAGGTCACTTCAGGGAGTGGAGGTTGAGGGGTGTTTGATGAGATACATGGTGTCCCTGCAGCTGCCCACCTCCTCCACAGCAAACCAAGCAAAGAGGGCATGGCCCAAGGAGAGCCACGCAGCGTCGGGCATCACACCTGGTGCTTCCCTTTCAGAGTTCCCCGTCTTGCCTCACACCACAGGCGATATGTGGAGCGGCTCGACCAGCAGCGAGTGGTGCACATCCTGGAGCGGCTGCAGAATAGCTCGCCGCTACGATACCGCAGCAAGATCTCCGCCCTCCTTGTCATCGCCACCTACCGCTTGTCTTGAGGTGTGGTGATGGGTGCTGCTGCTGCGTGCTTCATGGGACTGCGGAGCATGCGCAGTTCATATTGCTTTGCGCGCTGCTGATGGGTACTGTATAACACTGAGACCCGAGTGCTGACAGCGGCCCATGTCTTCCGAGTGTGCCGGGTCTGTCCCATCTCTAGTGGCAAGCGCACTCGCATACACAGACTCAAAGAATTCGCGTGCAAGCCACTCCAGACTCAGGCATAGGTCTGTGCCAGTGCCATGTATTGTAGTCATGTCAATCTACCACGTCCTCGCCTTGCCGTGGACCTCCCTCGCCTGCCGTTTCTCGTGCGCCCTCTCCTCGCTTCTTCGGGTCGACAGAACGAAGCATCCGGGGGTCATGTTCAGGGGACAAATTTCGAGGGGAAGGGGGACCAAAGAAGCACGTCAGGGGTGGGCGGAGGACGCCAGGCCGATGCTGCTGCTGGGCGCGGCGGGGGGCCGGGAGGAGGAGGAAAGGCCGGTGCCGCCGCCCGGCCCCACGTGGTAAACGGCCGCCACGCGGTCCTGCCCCCCTGAGGCCAGGTGCAGGTCGTAAGGCGCCCAGGCCAGGCAGGTGATGGGGCCCGGGCGGTGGGAGAGGAAGGAGGTGTGGGCGCGGATGACGCCCAGCGGGTCGCCCGTGGGGGACCACACTTTGACCACCTGCAGTGCACGGGGGGCGGGGGGGGCGGGAAGGGGTTGGGTTGGTGTGCCGACATTGTGGGAGGGTGGGGAGTTTGGGATGGGAAATGCGAGTTGGGACACCCATGGATCTGCTCACACTCAAACCATCCCTCGCCCCATCAGAGCTCACGTGGAGCCTCCGATCCACCCCTCCCACAAAACGGATTAACCCACCTGCCCCGTGGTGGCCGTGGCAAGGAGGGGGGCGTGGGGGTGCCCCGCCAGCACCGCCATGACGGGCTTGCTGTGCGCCTCCACCACCTTCCACACGCCGCCCTGCTGGCCGCCGTCGCCGCCGCTGCCGCCGGCGCGCAGGTCGGCAAAGGCCAGGGAGCCGCCGGGGTAGCCGAGCACGAGCTGGTGCGGCGCGCCGCCCGGCTCCACCGCCAGCCCCGCCAGGCGCGAGCGGAGGTGGACCAGGCCCGCCACGGGCGCAGCGACGGAGGCGCGGAGGTCGAAGATGCGGACGCCGCCCTGGCTGTCGGCCACGTACACGAGGCTGGCGTCGCGCGGCGTGGGCGCCGCCAGGTGGTCGATGGTGGGCGGGGGCGCAAAGGCAGAGACGGGCGTGGCGGGCGAGGGCGGCGGCGAGACGACGTGGCGGGGGGTGTCGGAGGCGGCGGCCGTGCTGCTCGTGCTCGACCCGCCGCCGCCGCCGCCGCCGCGCCGCCGCCGTGAGGCAGCTGCGCCGCCAGGTCGACGTGCAGGGAGTGGACGCAGGCCTCGCGCGCGACATCCCAGACGAAGACGCGGTCGCGGCGGCCGCCGCCGGCGGCGACCAGCGTCGCGCCCGCCGGCGCCCAGGCGAAGACGGCAGGGGCGGGGGCGCGGCCGCGGCGCGGCAGCAGTGCCGCCTGCCAGGCGGTGGCCAGGCGCTGCGCGCCTCGCACGGAGTAGTCGCGCCAGACGCGGACCGAGCCGTCGGCCGCGCAGGCCAGCAGCAGCTCGTCGCCGGCCTCGTTCAGCTGGAACAGCGCGCGCGTGGCGGCCGGCGCGGGGTTTGCGGCCGGCGGGGCGCTGGGCGGCGAGGTCGCCGCCGCGCCGGCCGCGGACGGCCCCAGGTGGAAGGCGTTGGCCGTGGCGCCCGTGTTGTACGTGCTGACGCGCACCCAGCCCTCGCCGTCGGCGGTGACCAGCAGCGGGCGCAGCGCGTCCAGCATGACCGCCGTCACGCGCTGGGAGCCGGTGTCCACCGCGTGCACGCCCTCCTGCAGGCAGGCGCGGTGCGGGCCGGAGGTTTGCAGGCCCCTGCATGCGTTCAGTCCCGCCTCGCGCTGCGTTGGTGGGGGGTGGGGAAGGTCGATGCGTGTGCTGGTGGGTGTCTGTTGGTGGTGTCGGGTGAGAACTCTGGTCCGGGGGCCCCCGACTGCGAGGCCTCGCAGCCAACGATCTCGTCAGGGGCAGCGGTCTGCAGCCGGCTGCCGGGCCGCGACTCGGCGTGGGAGCACGGAGGCGTCGCACCAGGGGGCCACCCTGGCCCCCACCCTGCCGCGCCCGCCCGCGCCGCCCATGCCCGCCACCTCCCAGCACACTCCCGCTGGACCCCTCGAACCAGCGACAACCCCCCCATCGACCTGGTGCACGCCGGCCTTCACCAGCTCCGGCGAGGGATCGTGCAGCCAGGTGGCGTGCGGCGGGCCCAGCTCCTCGATGGCCTGCGGCGCCAGCAGGGGCCAGGTGAAGGCCTCGCACGCGGCCGCGTAGACGGGCGAGGGCCAGCCCGCGCCGGCGCCCGCCCCCGCCCCGGCCGCCAGCGACGCCGAGCGCTCCGGCGCGCCGGCCAGGCCGCCCAGCGAGGCCGTGGAGCCGTGGGCGGAGGGCGCCAGGCCGATGTCCGGGGTCGACTGCGCCGTGCCCGCGCGGGAGAGCGGCGCGCCGCGCTGCGAGCCGCCGTCGCCGCCCAGCGAGCCCAGCGCGGCGCCCGAGGCCTGGCGCAGGAAGAAGAGCGGGCGCGTGGCCGCCACCGCCAGCAGCGGCGGCGAGGCGCTGGGGCTGCCGGCTGCCGAGCCCGCAGCACTTGCGGCGGAGCGCTGCACGCCGCCGCCGCCGGGCATGGGCGGGTGCCCGCCGCCGCCGCCGCCGCGCCAGGTGCGGGGCTGCCAGGCGCGCGGCACGCCCAGGCTGGCGCCGCGCTCCAGCATCTGGAGCGGGGCGTCGCCGTCTGCGGGGCGTGGAGCGAGGGAATGGGATCATGGGCAGTGGTGGTGGGAGGGACGGCGGGGCTGACTGTGACAGGACTGCGAGCGATCTGGGCGATTCCTGCTCCCCGCGCTCCAGCGCCCCAGGAAAGCAGCCCCCTGAGGGGAGAAGTCCCGCAGGTTCTGGGGCTCGAACCCCGAGCAGCAACCCCGACCAGCTTGGTGGGCGGCCTGCAGAGCCTGCACCGCATGATCAAACTCCCATGCACAAGCCAAGCAAGTACGTTGGAGGCTGCACTCGGGCGCCTGTGCTGCCGATTCCCCTCTCCCCCAAACACGCACACAACCGACCCACGACGCACCTCCCCGCAGGCCCGGGGGCAGGCCCAGCGCGGAGGTGCTCTGCGCGCCGCTCAACGTGCGCGGGCTGGCGGCGGGGCTGGCGCGGCCCAGCTTGGAGGCCGGCGCCGGCGCCGCGGCGGGGGCCGGCGCGGGCGGCGCGGGCGCCAGGACCAGCTCCACGCCGACGCGGCGCAGGATGGCCAGGCCTGCGGCGGCCACGCCCGGAGCGGGGTCGGTGCTCAGCGTGCACAGCGCGTCCAGCACCGCGGCGTAGAGCCCGCCGCCCACGCGCGCGGCGTCGGGCGAGGCAAGAGCGCGGGCGGGGGCCGCCGGGGTCCGACGCCTCGCCGCCCAGGCCCAGGAGCAGCGCCGGCTCGTAGGCCGCGTCGCCCCGCGCGCGCACGCCGGGGGAGGACGTGGAGCCGGTGGACCCCGCCAGCGGCCGCGGCGCGGCCGGCGCCTCGCGCATGGCCGCAGGCGGCGGCGGCGTGGCCGGCGTGGCTGGCCGCTCCCGACCGTCTGCTGGAATGGTGGGTGGGGTGAGGGGGGTGTCTGGAGACGGTGAGGAGAGGGAAGTTCAGTGCCTGGTCCTGAGCTGAGACGGCACATCTTGCGACAGCACCCCGTCCCACACCAGCATCACCTGAAAACACCCTCCCGCCAATGGAAACTCACCCTCCCGGCCGTCCTTGTCCATCGCGGCCCCGGCGCCCCCGCCGCCAGGAGGCCTCTGCGTGCTCTCGCCCGGCCCCTCGCCCTGCCCCGCCCCCACCGCCCCGCCCGCCGCAAGCGGCACGGAGCCGGAGGTGGCGGCGGGTATGGGCAGCGAGCCGACGCCGACGCCGCCCGGCGTGCCCGCGCCCGGCGCGGCGGCGGGCGCCGAGGCGGCCGCGCCCGCGCCGCCGGCGCGCGTGGGGATGCAGGCCGCGGCAGGGGTGGCGCGCTTGAAGGCGGCCACCGCCGCCTGGAAGAGCAGGCCATGGCCCGAAGCCAGGCGCCCCAGCGCGCACGCCACCTCGCCCCTGCGCGAATTTTTGGTGTCGTGCCGAGCATGGAGGGGTAAGGATTGCAGTGCGGCTGTTTGAGGGGCATCGGACGGCCTCGGCGTCGCTGGCCGGCTGCGAGCCCTCGGGGGGGAGGGGTCCCGTGCTCTTTAGCTCCATGATCCCCCTCGATCCCCTGCACCTACCCCTCCACATACCTACTTTGAAAACAAACACATGGCCCCTCCCGGAGTACACAGAGATGTCCCTCCACAAAACAGGCCCCGGCACCCACCTGACGACGGGGCTGGCGTCGTAGACCATCTCCATGAGGCTGCAGGCGATGGCGCGCTCCTGCTTCCAGCGCTCCGAGGCCGGGGGCTGGGCGCCGGCGGCCTCGCCCTCGCCCTCCGCCTCCTCCTCGCCCGGGTCCACCTGGATGAGCGCGCCCAGCGCGAAGCAGGCCGCCCCGCGCACCTCCGGGTCGGCGCTGGCCAGCAGCCTGGCCACGATGTCGTGCGCCTGCAGGAAAGGAAGGAGCGGGGATCCTGTGGCGACATGTGGCACGGTGAGGAGGCTGGCGCACGCAGGCGGACGGCCCGGGGCGGCGTCGGCGGGGAGCGCCCGTCCGCCGTCAAAGACATCCCTCTCACCGCCCCCCTCCTCCTCACACCACACAAAGACCTGCGGCAGACCTGCTCTGCCATGGCGGCGGCGCAGAGGGCGGGCTGGCCCTCCACCGCCTTGCCCAGCACCAGGGCCAGCCACTTGACCAGCAGCGCGCTGGAGCGCCGGCTCTGACCGTCGCCGCCGGCGCCGGGGCCGGCGGCCAGCGCCGCCAGCGCCTGTGGCATCTGGCCCAGCACCGCGCCCAGCAGGCCGGCCTTGGCGCAAAGCAGCTGGCCGCGCGGGTGGCCGTCGCAGAGCGCGGCCAGCACAAAGGCGGCCTGCGCGCGTGACTCGGCGGCGGCGGGCGGCGCCGCGCCGGGGCCGCCGGGCCCAGACCCGCGCGCGTCCAGCTGCTTGACAAAGTACACGTGCCCGCCGTCCTTCACCAGGTCGCCCTGGACCTGGGGGTTGGCGTCCCAGGCCATGATCTTGGCCCAGATGAAGACTAGGGTGGCGCGCAGGTCGGCGGCCGTGGTCTGCAGCAGCTTGAGCACGTAGGGGAAGATGCCCACTGGTGGGATTTGGGGGTTTTGTTTTGGGGGAGAGGGAGGGGGTGAGTGCGATGGGAGGGGGGGGGGGTTGGTGGGCGTGGGTGACGAGCGACGGGCGGGTGAGCGAGCGCGAGCTGCGCAGAGTGGGCCTCGGACGCCGGACTGTGACCCATCGACGCGCACGGCGCTCCAGGGTGTGTCACGGCCAGGGGCACGCCCGCTCCGGCACGTGCCACCCCATCAGCTCCGCAGCTTGCCCACCCCTCTCCACACCGCACAACCTCAAGAACCCCTCCCATCCACCCCAGGTGCACCTGAGAGCGCGAGGTCCACCGCCCAGGAGCCCATGTCCAGGAAGCGGCCGAGCAGGACCAGGGCGCGCAGGCGGTGCACCTGGCTCAGCAGGACCTGCAAAGCGGGAATGCGCGAGGTGAAGGGGGTTCGAGGTTGGTGAGGGGGTCTGGTCGGGGGCCTGGGCGCCGATGGACGCTCAGATTCAGGAGGGTGAGGGGCGCAGAGGCGCTCGGCCCCTGGGCACGGTGGGCGCCGTCGGGCACGGCGCCTGCAGACACGGTGGGGCTCCCCCCCCTTCCCCACTCCCCCCCGGCCCCCCTGACAAAAACAAAAGCAATACTCCGAGCGTGCCTGCAGGACGATGGGCAGCTGCTCTGGGGGCGGCCTGTCCGGCGAGCCGTGCTCCAGCCAGAGCTCAAAGGCGGTGAGCTGCTCGGAGAAGAAGGGGGAGGGCACGTACTCCACCGTGCTGCCCGGCGCCAGCATGGCGGGCAGCTGGAGCAGGCAGGCCTCGGCGGCCATGTCCCAGGCCTGCCACATGGCGTGCTGGTGCGTGGGCGGCAGGCGCGGGTGGGAGACGGGGGTGCAGCCGTGCGCGCGCATCACGCGGTCTGCCAGCAGGAAGTTGCGGAACAGCGAGGCCACCAGCAGGTCCTGGCGGAAGAGGCGCTGGAAGAGCGCACGCGGCAGCACGTTCCACGCGATGGTGTCGGTGATGGCGGTGAACACCCAGTTCAGCTCGCCCAGCGGCGTCTTGCGGTCCGTCTGCTTGCCGGGCACTCGGTCCGCCAGCCCCGCGCGCAGCTCCTCCTCGGGCAGCGCGTCGCGCCAGCGCGGCGCGCTGCGCGCCCAGAACCAGCGCAGCGCCACCTTGATGGGGGTGGTCAGGCAGGCGGTGAAGAGGTCGGCGTGAGCGAGCGCGAGCTGCGCAGAGTGGGCCTCGGACGCCGGACTGTGACCCATCGACGCGCACGGCGCTCCAGGGTGTGTCACGGCCAGGGGCACGCCCGCTCCGGCACGTGCCACCCCATCAGCTCCGCAGCTTGCCCACCCCTCTCCACACCGCACAACCTCAAGAACCCCTCCCATCCACCCCAGGTGCACCTGAGAGCGCGAGGTCCACCGCCCAGGAGCCCATGTCCAGGAAGCGGCCGAGCAGGACCAGGGCGCGCAGGCGGTGCACCTGGCTCAGCAGGACCTGCAAAGCGGGAATGCGCGAGGTGAAGGGGGTTCGAGGTTGGTGAGGGGGTCTGGTCGGGGGCCTGGGCGCCGATGGACGCTCAGATTCAGGAGGGTGAGGGGCGCAGAGGCGCTCGGCCCCTGGGCACGGTGGGCGCCGTCGGGCACGGCGCCTGCAGACACGGTGGGGCTCCCCCCCCCTTCCCCCACTCCCCCCCCCGGCCCCCCTGACAAAAACAAAAGCAATACTCCGAGCGTGCCTGCAGGACGATGGGCAGCTGCTCTGGGGGCGGCCTGTCCGGCGAGCCGTGCTCCAGCCAGAGCTCAAAGGCGGTGAGCTGCTCGGAGAAGAAGGGGGAGGGCACGTACTCCACCGTGCTGCCCGGCGCCAGCATGGCGGGCAGCTGGAGCAGGCAGGCCTCGGCGGCCATGTCCCAGGCCTGCCACATGGCGTGCTGGTGCGTGGGCGGCAGGCGCGGGTGGGAGACGGGGGTGCAGCCGTGCGCGCGCATCACGCGGTCTGCCAGCAGGAAGTTGCGGAACAGCGAGGCCACCAGCAGGTCCTGGCGGAAGAGGCGCTGGAAGAGCGCACGCGGCAGCACGTTCCACGCGATGGTGTCGGTGATGGCGGTGAACACCCAGTTCAGCTCGCCCAGCGGCGTCTTGCGGTCCGTCTGCTTGCCGGGCACTCGGTCCGCCAGCCCCGCGCGCAGCTCCTCCTCGGGCAGCGCGTCGCGCCAGCGCGGCGCGCTGCGCGCCCAGAACCAGCGCAGCGCCACCTTGATGGGGGTGGTCAGGCAGGCGGTGAAGAGGTCGGCGGGGAGGTCCGCGGTCTGGGGCAGCACGTCGGCCTCGCCGCAGGCGCACAGCAGGATGCAGGAGCGCATGGGGTCGGCGGGCGGGTGGCTGGGGGGGAGCCCGCCCTCTGCGCGATTGGGAAAGGGAGGGTGGGAGGGTGGGTTGGATGTTTGGAAGGAGGAGGAGATGGGATGCCCTGTGCGGAGTGGGGCTGGGGTCGGGGCGCATTCAGGCCAGGCGGGGGGTGGACGCGTCACCGCACACACACGCGCAGTTGACACCCGCCCAGCGCGCATGCGCGGTCTCAAACCCAGACACACCCGTACACCTGGACATACACGCACACAAAAGAACCCAGAGCCCACACCCCACCCCACACTGACCCGGGAGGGAGCTGGCGGTGGAGGGCGCGGAGGAGGGCGCGTAGGCGCTGCCGTTGCCCGCCGCCCCAGGCGCGTAGCCCTCCGCCTCCTGCGCGCGCTGCGCCATGAACTGCTTGAAGCTGTGCAGGATCTGGCCCGCGGTGCTGCAGTCAAAGACGTAGATGGCGGGCGTGCCCAGCCAGGTCTGCAGGTCGTACAGCGACAGCGGGATGTACTGGGTGTAGGAGCGGTTGAACACCCAGATCTCGCCGTTGGCGGTAGGGCGCGGCACGCCGTGCCCATTGTAGTGGAACAGCACGCGCTCGCCCCTGGCCGCGCGCCGGCTGGAGGTGGCCAGCTTCTTCACGTCCTCTGTGGTGGGGTCCAGGTGCATCTTGTACTTGGCGCGCGGCTGCCAGCGCTCGTACTGCACCTGCAGGCTCTTGCCAATGGCGTCCAGGGCCTTGGCCGCCGGCATGCTCAGCGGGTCGATCCAGCACTCGGTGCGCGCGCAGGGCGACACGCGGACCACGTCGGGCGGGTCCACGCCGATGTTGAGGCACACCACCAGGGCCACCGCCGTCGTCTTCAGCCGCTCCTTCTGGCGCCAGCGCGAGACCAGGCCCTCGCGCGCGCCGGGGCCGGGGCCGGCGGGGGCGCCGGCCAGCTCGTCGTGCCGCGCCTCGCACAGCAGGCGCGGGCGCGCGTGCTCGCTCTCCTCCCGTAGCCAGGCGAAGGCCTGTGTGTCGCGCGCGCGTGTGTGTGAGGGGGGGTGAGAGGGGTGGGGGCACCAGAGTCAGAGGCTGGAAGGTGGGTGAGGGGTGAGACAGCACCGGATAATCGAGGGGACGTCGCGAGGTGGGAGGGGCAGTGGGCGCCGAGGCCAACGCCAGGTGCCCTGCGGCGCAGCACGCTGGCTCCTTCCCATCATCCCTGGCGACCAAGCACACCGCCCAGAGTCTGGTGCTGGACCCAGGGCAGGTCGCAGGGGACACCAGAGACTCCCATTCCCAGCCGCCCACCCACCGGGTCCTGGAGGCAGAGCCTGCGGGACAGCTCTTCCGTGAGCAGCGAGGGGGATCCCGGCTCCTCCACACGGCTGATGAGCTTCTCCAGGGTCGCGGCCACGCGGTGGATGGACAGGGTGGTCACACCGAGGGTGGTGATGGGGCTGTCCATGTCGACAGGGGTGGGTCGCGAGTGCAGGAGCCAGTGCCAGGGGCAGTGGTCACGCCGCAGGCATCCCCCAGGCTTAGGGAATCAGAGAAGAATGCAGTGATGTATTGGAGAGGGTGCCATGCATTCACAGCGGCCTGCCCTTACTCCCAGAGGGCCGGGTCTGCAGGGTTCCGGGGGAGGTCTGGGTGGGGGGAAGAGCCTGCGCAGGATATCGCTGCTCCCCCAAGGGTCTCACAGCACGATCGAAGGGAGAGTGTGCAAGGGCGCCCGTACTTGGCGCGCCCCGAGCATCGCAAACCCTGCATCGCCGGGTCTCGCCAGGATTTGGTGCCCTCGTCCTCTCGGCGGGGCGCGAGATGATGGCACCTTGCACACCAAGGACAATTGAGGCATTCGTTTGCATACTTTATGACATGACATACCGATGATACATTAGGCATTCAGTTGCATTATAAAATGCTTGTAGCCCGCGACCAGCCCCTTCCCTCGTGCGTGACAGTGGGACAGGTCGCTGACATGGCCGGGCAGCTCCAGGGGTGAGGGTGGCATGGATCCATATGCTGCCCTGGGCGTGAAGCCTGGAGCGAGCAAGGATGACATCAAGGCCGCCTTCCGCCGCGCAGCCATGAAGTGTCATCCCGACATGTGTGTGGTGTGATCGAAATCCCGGCAGTGCATGTCCTTGCCTGGGCTGTATTGTCAGTCCCTACTCCCATCATCCCACTCTGGTGAATGAGGGGGGTTTGAGCGACGATGAAGCCAGATACACTGTCATACATGCTGCAGGTTTGCGCAGTCGGGAGCCCAGGCGCAGGAACGAGCAGCCGCAAATTTCAAGGCATTGACGGAAGCATACAATGCCCTGATGCAAGGTGCACAGGGGGCGGGTGCACGGGAGGGTCTGCGTGATGCATGCATTCCTAACACGGCTGTGCCGCACGGCAGGGACTGATCCTGTTGGTTTGCGCGGATGTTCTGACACCCTGATTGATACCTTACAGGAGGTCGGCGGCCCGGGTCGGGCGGCCGGCCTCCCCCGCGTGGCCAGACCCCAAACTATGGCGGCTGGGCCTCCAGAGGGGGCTCCTCGGCTCGATACCGCCCTCCCCCGCCCCGGTCTTTTTGGTGAGGACTGTGTGCGAGTCCAGGCCTTGAGTGTTCCAAGCTTAACTCCTTTTGCCCCCCCCACCCCCCTCGCATTAAGCTCCTTGCCCTCCCTGCACGGCCACAGACCCAATTGCCGCCTGGTACCGGCTCACCAGGGGTTTCAGCCGAGCAGACGCCGTCTATCTTGCTGTGTTGGGTGCAGTGTTCATGGGCGGGGCCATAGTCCTGGACCCCCTCACAGCTGCCGCCTGGCAGGGCAACAATGCCGGGGTGAGGCAGGTTGGGCAGGCTTGGTGTGCGGATGGGAGGAGGGAGGGGTTGGGGGTATGGACGAGGCCTTGTTCTTGAGGTATCCCATTGACAGGGAGAGAGTGCGGTTGGGGGGCTTGGGGGGCATGGCATGGAGATCTGAAGACCCTGGAACCTCGAGGATGACAAGGGCAAGGGGGATACCCCCAGGGCCACCTCTGTCATCACGACCGCACTACCCTCCCCCTGCTTCCAGAGACTGTTTGGGGACGTGAGGGCCGACAGCCTGACGAGGCGGCAGGCCCAGCTGGACCAGCTCCGGGCCGAGAGGCAGGCAGCTGAGGCCGAGGCGAGACTCGCGGCCCGAGCCGCCGCTGCGGCCCGGGAGGGGAGCAGTGCGGCGCATCCCCAGCAGGCTGACTCAGCTGAAAGGGGCCCTGCGCAGCCCATTGTGAGTTGATGCACTCAGCACCGCATTGTTTCAAGGCAACCACTAATGTGTGGCTGCTTTCCCCAGTGTTTTCTTTGCTCGTTGGTGGTCGGCCCTGTGTTCACCAATAAATCCAGCCAGTCCTGCCCAATGTCCGATGGGCGGTGCAGCGAATATGTACAAAACCATTCAGCGGCTCCAAGGGCGTGGACAGCGGGAACAGGAGCTCAGTGTGTGAAACTACCGCGCATGCCGATCGCAAGTAAGCGCAAGGTGCACGCCAGCGCATGCCGCAGTTGCAACAATTTCCCCCCCCCTAGTTCCAGTATGCCGAGTCTGGGTCTGGCCGCCTCTGGTCCAGCTTGGCGCCCTCGATGGCTATCATGGTCTTGCAGCCCTGCGTGGCACGTAGGCCAGAGGAGTGTGAGAGCCAGTGGGAAGCTCTGTCAGTCACTCGCCGCTGCGTATCGCGGCAGCCCTCTGGCGAGACGGTTTTCACCTTGCTGCAGCGCGGCGATACACTGCGGAACCCCTTCAGCCACTCACTGGAGGCACGTGGTACTCTGCCAGGGTCTTCTCGTCCTCCATGCGCTGACCGGCGTAGATGAGGGCGAGATCGCTCCATGCCTGGATGCCCGGCGTGTTCCGCACGCCCTCTGGCTTGTTGGCGCGGGCGATGCCTCCGTCAAACAGCGCCTGCTTGATCTGCAGGAGAGGGGTGCGCTGGACTGGGGTTTGGGGGCGTGATGGTCAGAAGCTGCAGCGAGTGGTGGTTGATGTTGGGTACAGGATCGCAACCTCATCCCAGGTTCCTGCGGACTGGCAGACGCACAGGGCGGGCTCATAATCCAGGTGCCAACAGAGCACGCCGACCTTGGCCACGGTCCAGTCTGGCTGGCCCGAGACGCGGTACCGGCACCCGCCGCAGAAGAAGGCAAAGTGGTCCATGTCCTTGCGCGGTGGGACGGTGGGGATGCCCTCGAATGGGTAGTCCATGGTGGCCACCTCCTCGAACACCAGCGCCTCCTTCTCGGGGGGGATGGGGGTGTTGGTGTCGCAGTCCCAGGCGCCCTTGCCCAGGGATACACCCCCACCCCCACCGCCACCGCCGCCGCTCTCCCCTGCCACGATGGATTTGTCTTTCGGATTCACCATGACGGTGTGGGGCCCTGGGACCACGCGAGCCTGCGGGAGGTGGAGCGAGCGGCGCAGTCAACCTCAGCCGTGGTCAACATGGGGGAGCCCGGGGTGCAGGTAGAGGTCCACCCCATGGCTGATTTACGGGCTCGCAAAGCTTTCAGTGCAGTGAAATTCGAATCGATCATCGTCCGCCGCGCCTCCTGTCGGTAGAACACCACTGCCTCCAGCACGACACAGCAAAGGGCTGTTCTGCGCCACCTTCTGTCGGTCACTCACCGCGCAAGATTCAGGATGTGCAGGGCTGCTCGAGAGCAGCTTCACCACGGACCGTTGTTCACTCGTTCTGGTTAGAAATCAGGTGCACCACGCTGTGTCGCGCCATTGCCATCGCTTGATTCGAAGTCCCGTGCATCTCAGAAATCGCAGGGTTTTGGGTACTGCATGGTACTCCCCCATCTCATTTTGCTACGGGAGGTCGTGGGCACGGAAAGCGCACCCTACGCCCGCATGACGGGTGGCGGGTGCGACGATATCAGGAGAAAAACCCCGTAGCTATTCCCAGGAGAGGCGCCGAAACTCGGTACCGGCGACAACCTTGTCATAGGGCTCATAGGTTTCGTACCAGCTCGGGGTTGACCTCCAGCCACACGCCTGACGGTGTTTAGCCCACAACGATTTTGATGAGAGTGGAGACATGCGCGTGAAGACGACCCAAAGCTCTGGTCTCTGTCTACCGGCGAAGACCGGCGGCTGGAGAATGCGCTGAAGGGTCCGGTGCTGGTACACCCGCCCCACGCTCTCACCCAATGGCCGACGACGTGCCTCCTCCAGGCCTCCCCGAGCGCCTCTCCGGTGCGACCGCGTGCGATTCCTGCTCCCGTGCTGCAGCCCTGGAATCGACAGCGCGCGGGCCTCAGTTCCAACCCATCCACTCATGCAGGCGCTTCACCCAGCTGGGACCCGGCAGACTGGGCGTGGGACTCGGTGCGGATGGTGGCCACACCCATCGCGACCCCGGTGACCAAGCCATGCTGCGCCACGGCCAGCGCCCCCAGGGTCCAGCGCCAGCCCGCGCGCCGGCCGGGCAGGCCCTCACGGCCGGCGCCTGCGCCGGCACGGAAGCCTGTGCGCGAGAACGTCTGCCAGGCGGACGGCTGCCACAAACCGCTGGCCAACCTCACCTTTTACCACCAGAGGAACAGGTAAGGAGTGGTTGCACACCAATGGACGCATGTGGCTTGGTTGGGATGCCTGCGCCTGCTGCGTGCCGCCGCACATGGCTGGGAGGTTGAGTGCAGCCAGATGTGGTGGCGATGCAAACATTCCCAAACGCCCGACCCAGCATGGCATGCTCAAGTCTTGTGCCCTCCACTCTCTGATCTGTCCCTTCCCAACCCCTCTCTCCTACCCCCTCCACTCCTTTCACTCCAGGATCTGTGAGGAGCACATCAAGGCGCCCAGCTTCCTGAAGGACGGCGAGCTGCTGAGGTTCTGCCAGCGCTGCGGCGTGAGCCACCCCCTGGCGGAGTTTGACGGGCAGCGCAAGTCGTGCCGCAAGCAGCTGGAGAAGCACAACGCCCGGAGGTGGGCCATGTGGTACCTGCCTGGGTCTGCGACAGCCCCCTTCTGGTCCTCACAAGCAGCGATGTGACTGCCCGTGAAGCATCCAGTCACACCTCAGCAACCCCCCGCCACGCCATGCAGGCGTAAGTCTGGTGCGTCTCCATCCGCCCCCATCGGCACTCCAACCATGCCAGCCTCCGGCTCCGACAACGGCGGCTGCCTGCCGGGGAGCAGTGGAGCCCCGACCAAGATCATGCCCGAGCAAGCCTGGGCCGGCCTCGACCTTGCCAACCCCTCGAGTGGCTGGGGTTGGGCGCCGGGCACGTCCACGCCCCCCCCCAGCTCCTCCTCCCTGTCGCAGCCCTGGCTCGCGGGCGGCGAGTCCTGCGCCTCCCTATCCGAGAGCCGCAGCGACGGCGCCTGCACAGGCAGCGCCCCCGATGCGCTGGTGGAGGAGCTGAGCGGATGGCTGACGCAGCAGCTGGCTGACTCCCCCGTCCTGGACCTGCCGCCGGGGTTTGGCGGCGACAGCGACGACGGCGGCGGCGGCGGCACGCCCGCGGGGCTGGAGGCGCTGCTGCCCCCGACCCCGCTCCCTGCCGCCTCCGACGGCTTCGAGCTGGCCTGCGAGCTCATGGGACCCGAGGACCTCGGGTGGGGGCCAGGCCCCGTCGCCGCCCCCGGCGACCGCCGCGCCCCCGCCTCGCCTCCCACCGCGGCGGCCCCGTCGCCCGGGCCCCCCCTCCTCCTCTCCCGAATCTCGGTCAAGCTCTTTGGCGCGACGCCGGAGCAGCTGCCACCGGACCTGGCCGACCAGCTGGCGGCCTGGTGCGCGCCCCCTGGCTCCGGCCTGGCCTCGCTGGAGGCCTACCTGCGCCCTGGCTGCCTGCACCTCACCGTGCAGGCCGTGGTCCAGGGCACACCGCGCTGCGACGAAGACGCGCTGGGCGCTGTGCTGGCGGCCATGACTGGTCGGGTCGGTCCCGGGGCCGACGACGCAGGCGGCGCAGGCGGCACCGACTCCGGCGGCCGCGGCCGCGGCCCCGCCTCGCCCTGGCTCACGGGCACGGCACTGGTGCAGAGCGGCGCGGCGCTGGCGCTGCTGCACCGCGGCGAGGTGGCGCAGCGCTGGCGCGTGCGAGACGCGGGGCGCCACCGCCTGGTGCCCAGCGTGCACAGCGTGACGCCGCGCGTGCTGCTCGCCACGCCGGTGCCGGCGGCCGGGCGCGGTGCCGTGCGGCTGTGCGTGGCGGGGACCAACCTGGCGCAGACCGGCGCGGAGCTGCTGTGCCGGCTGCAGGGCGCCTACCTCGACCCGCTGGCCGTGGCCTGCGCGGACTGCGCCTGCAGGGGCCCGGGGCGGCGCGCCGGCGGCGGCGGGGCCTCCTTCGGCGACCTGGAGGCCGCCTGCTGCGGCTGCTGTGTCCGGCGCCTGGCCTTGCTGTCCGCAGAGGACGTGGAATGGCTGGAGGGAGGGAGTGCGGGCGAGGGGGCTCCAGGTGTCGGGAGCAGGAGTGCAGCGGCGCTGATGGGCAGGAGTGCGACGAACGCCGAGGCGAGCGTGCCCCTCGGCACGTGCTGCCAGGCTGGACCCCCCTCTGCGCGGCGTCGGCCCCCCCACCCACCCACACAGACCGTCCACCTGGACATCCCGGCCCCCACCCTGCCCGGCCTGCTGCACGTGGACGTGCAGAAGGGCCCCTACCTGGCCCCTCCCGGTCGGGGCTCGCGGTGCCTGGTGGTGGACAGCCCCGCGGTGGCCGCCGAGCTGACTGCGTGGGTGAGTACTGCGGCGGTGCAGGGCGATGCACAGTGCATGCTGGACGCGCTGGGCCTCGTGTACGAGCACGTGGGCGGGCGTGGCAAGGTGCGCCCCGGCTGCGCTGAGCGCGCGGCCGCGCGCCTGGCCTTCTGGGCGCTGCGCCGCGGCCTGGCCGCCACCGCGCGCGCCGCGCTGGACGTCGTCGTCGAGGCGGTGGAGGGCGCGGCGCGCGCGCTGCCGGGTGCGCGCGCCGCGGGCCTGGACGGTCTGGCCCTGCTGCACGCTGTGCACGCTTCGGCGGTGGCGGCCACGCTGCGCCGCGCCGCGCGCCTTGGAGCGCCGCCGGGCACGGGGCTGGGCCTGCTGCACGCCGCCGTGCAGTCGGGGGACCCCGCCTGCGTCAAGGTGGGGAAACCCGGTGGGGATTGTGGCTGCGGAAACTTCGGGTGGGCTCCTGCTTCTGGGGAATTGGGTGCATGCGCTGGCAGCCCTCGAGGACGGGGGAGAGGCTGGGGGTTCACTCGTCCGGAGGGCGCCCAAGGAGGGACTCTGCCGTTGTAGACAACAACCGCGGACAGCGTGGGGTCACAGACCCAGGTAGCCTGATCTGCACTGACACCGACGATCGCTCAACCACCACCACCACCACCCATCTCGTCCGCCAGATCGTGCTGGGCTGGGGCTTGTGGAACTCGTCCCCGGCCAGCTCAAGCCTGCCAGGCCCGCGGGACGGCACCGACCGCCACGGCAAACCCTCGCCCGTCCCACTCTCGGTCTACCACCTGGCCGCGGCCGCCGGGGAGGAGTCCACTGCGGAGCGGCTGGTGGAGGCCCTGCTGGAGGGCGGGGTGCGGCCGCCGGCCGCCTCGCAGCTGCCGCCGGGGCACCGAGCGTCCGACTTCGCCGCCAGGCGCGGGCACCACGCACTGGCGGCGCGCCTGCGTGCTCTGGAAGGCGAGGCGGAGGGGCGACATGCCTTGCCGCCCTCGCCCAAACTCCACCCGGCCCCGCACAGGGCGACCTGCTGTGCGCTTGGGCCTGTTGGCGCGGTGCCAGCGGAGCCTGCCCTGGCCCTGGGCTCGTTCGCGAGGGCCGGCAGCGGGGAGCCGGTCGCCCCCGACACCCCCAAGCGCTGCTGCTGCAAGGGGAGCTGCCCCTGCGCGCTCCGCACCTGCGGCTCCTGCTGCTCCGGTGGCGGCCTGGGCTGTGGGCTGCGCTCCGGCGACTGCCCCTGCTGCAGCGGCTGAATGACAGTTTGCGAGCCCCCTGCCAGGGGCTTGTCACTGTGCTCGCCGGATCTTGCCCAATAAACCTGAATCTGACTAGCTCGAACGCACGGCGCTGCCTGTACACTTTTTTCTGGTACCTTTATATGCCATCTGTATGTACGGTACAAACGCTTGGATGTCGGCTTTGATATCGTTTTTAAGAGTATGGCTGGGTGCCACTGGGGCAGTTGTAGCCTGTCATAGCAGACAAGCAGCGCAGGGGGCAGCAACTTGTCATTGGTGCGAGGAGGTGCAACAAAATGGAGATGGTCTTGTCAACTTTGGGGGAAATTAGTGTAGACTCCTGGCCAGGGGCAGGGTTGCAGCAGGTGAGCTGCCACATCCAGGCGAGAGGATCGAGCATGTGCCGCGCAAATCAACCAATGTGGAAAACGTCAGGGGCAAGGGCCGGGACAAGCATGTCACCAACGTAAGACCGCCGTCGAGCGGGACTCTGCCTGGGCAATGCAGCCGCGCAGCCCTCAGATTTTGGCGATGGTCTTGTTGAGCCGGTTCAGGTCGTCGTTCACCTTGACTGCCCGCGTGGGCAGGCGCTCAATCTGCGTGTCCTGGACCTGGAGCTCGTTCGACATCTCCTGTTGGGCGAGGGGTCAATGAGAGCATACATTGATTGATATTGGGCTGGAGATTACTCACCTCCCCCATCGTGCACATGCCACAAGCTCGGACTTGGATGCAGGGGTTTCGTCATGCCAGCGTCAGGATCCGAGATCATTCCCATTAAACCCTAGCGGGCCTGAGGCAGGTGGCCGATCCCTCCAGCCTTGCCCTCACCTGTCCGAGGGCCTTCATGCTCTCCACCGCCTTCCCAATGCTGTCCAGGTATCCTTCCTGCTTTAAAGTCTCGCTGTCGAGCTCAGATCGATCAGACTCTGCGTAGGATGTGGGAGGGGCTTGGGGCTCGGGACATCCTTGCCCTGCATTCAAGCCCCTTTCCTGCCAACTTTTGAGGCAGGCTCCAGCAGCTCTTGACCCAACGAGGCAGTCCGGGACAGGCCAGTCAAGGGTTCTCCACCAAGCTTGCTCTTGCCTGAGGTTGCAAGCACAGAGCAGAAGGGTACCGACCCCATCCAGAATCCCATGCCCGCAACACCAAACAACCTCCTCACTCACCGGCCATGCCCGGGAACTTTCCAAAGCCGATGGACGTGGTCTTTCGCTCCGACCTGATGGCCTCTGCTGTCTGGAAAAGCTCGCTGCGCTGACCGGTCTCATCCCCGTTGTAAGCCACGTCATCCCGCTTTATGAGGCGGTCCACCGCGGCAGCGGCGCTCATGTGCTTGTTGGCGACCTCCTCTCGGTGGTCCAAGCTTGTCACGCCCCGCCTGGGGTAGGAAAAGGGTATGGAGGTCGTGAGCTGACTGGCTGCGGGTGACTGAAAGGGCTGCAGGCAGGCACACATCTAAAATACCCCAAATCATGATCACCAAATGACACACAGCCGGTGACCAACATCAGCGGGAGCGAACCAATTGTCCTAGCTCATAGCTCTGCAGCGAGCACATTCTAAGACTATGGGTACCAACACCCAGCACTGCATGCAATGCTCACATCTTGAGGCGCTGCTGGCGACTCGGCCTCCCTTTCTTGTGCTCCGGATCCAAACAGCAGCAGCACAGCTGCCAGCAGCACCAGCGCCGCATGAACTTCACAAGGGAGCTGGCCTCCTTCACATCCTCCTCCATCTGCAAGCAGTTTAAGTGTCGAGGGTGGGTGCAAGTTGACTGCATTGGCTTCGCCACATGTTGAAGGGGCCCTCGACAGGATGGGGTGACAGCTATGTTGGCCTACAGTGGGAAGACCACTTCCATACCCCCTCAGCATAGTCAGGTCATACCACTTCTTCACTGCACATGACACCCACACTCACGTGGTCAAGGCCCCGCTCGATGTGATCCAGCTGCTCGCCTTGCCGATGGATCTCTACCAAGGTGTTTCTCCCAGCGTCCACAGTCTCGTCAGCTATCTGCTCACATGGTGAGGAACCAAGACGATGCTACTTACGAGAGTACCAGGCAGCAAGCAAGGCTGACATGCAGGCTGGGCGGGTCTTCCTGCTGGCCGAGCACGGCTGCGTGACCCTGCAGCTCGGCAACATGGAGGTTAAGCCCCACGCCTCCACCACTCACCTGGGCAGCTCGCTTGGCCGCGGCAGTCGTATCTCGGTGTTCCCGCTTCGCCATCTCCATTATATGGCGTTCTGCCGGGCTGAGGTTGTCTGTGGCCTCCGCCTGAGCCCGGGTACGCCCATTGGGGCGGGGAGGCGCGTACGACATCCTCCTCGGGGTGCTTCCGCACACCGCGAGGAAAAATCTGTCAGGGCACTGCAACGACAAGAATCGACGTGAAGGCAGGGTTCCAAAGGGTGGAACGCTCGCCGGCATGCTGTGCTCCGGCATGCGGAACCTGTCTCTCCTCCGGTCAGCAAGCGTGCTGGGGCAAACCCTGACATCGCACGCGATTCCACGGTTGCTGACTGGTGTGCGTCGAGGCGACGAAATCATGATGACATCAGTGATCACTTGATGAACAATCGAAAAGCCTTCGATCGCTGCTTTGAGGCTCTCAGGCGGTCGGTCCGGCGTTGCAAGTGTCGAGCACCAGCGAGGAGTGGCACCTCATCTGAGTCCCACATGATATGAGCTCCGACTCAGGCTCCCCCAATCCCTCGCTCGACCCCTTGCCCGGGACACGAAACGCCCGCAGCGTCAAACGAGATCGCTCCCCATCCCCTGCCACCCCCCTCCCTGCCCGGGGGTAGATTGATCGCCCAGATCAAGGAGATCGAGGCCTTGACCTCCCGCCCACCCAGCCACCACGAAAAACTGAATCGAACGGTACCCAGCGTGCTCAAGAACTCCTTCCCGACCCGGCGCGGTCCCAGGGTGGGTCCGGACTACCAGGCCGTACTCCCTTCTCCTGTGCCCAAGGGTGCTGGAGCCCCCCCCGCCCCGACCAAGGAGCCGGCTGCGCCCCAGGAGCCGGCATGCTGAGCCTGTACTCCTCTGCTCCCACCAGGTTCTCCCTCCTGCTGCTCCAGGAGGGGGAGGAATATGGTGAGGTGGGCGTCGCAGACAGGGGGTACTGGAAGGGGCTGTTACGTGACACTGGAGGGGGGGCCATCGTGCGAACGTCCTTTGGGGTCACAGCGTCGCGGAATTCAGTATCTCAGTGTGTTGCAAATGAAGGCATGGTAGTTCCCACCCCACCAACCTCCCCCGGTGCATGCCGGAGGCAACCCCCACCCGAACCCCTGCACGTACCATGCCACCCGCCACGGTACCCACCCGCCGCAGTGCACGAGTTTGTGGCGGAGTGCGCCTGGCCCCCCCAGATCCCAGGCAACTGGCAGGGGCGCCCCGTGCTGGCCGGCCACCTGCGCCTGGCCACCCGCTCCATGTTCTTCGACCCCGACGACCTTCGCGTGCCCATCGTCAGGTGGGCAGGTGTTGTCTGAGGGGCTTTGCTGCCGGCCTGGCTCGGGAGTGTTTTGTAGATCGCTGCAACCTCACACTTCCTCACCCCCGGGCCCAGCCACGCCAGCATCCCCTCCCCTTCCCCCTCGCTGCATCACAGGCTGCCGTTCGAGGGCGTGGAGGGGCTGGAGGCGGTGGGCTCCGCGCGCAGCGGGGACTTCCTGGTGCAGTCCCGGCACGCGGTGCGCATGCGCCCCGGGGCGGCCGACGTCCCTTACGCACACGACCGCTCGCGCCCGGCGCTGGCCTGGCGCTTCTGCCTGGCCTTTGCCGCCATGCACGACTTCATGCCACAGGCCCAGGTGCTGCTGGCCGCCTGCCGCCTCCCCCCCGCCGACCGCGAGGCGGCGCTGGCGGCCCTCCTCGCCGCGCGCGGCGCCGGCCCCGGCTTCGACCCCGGCAACCTGCGCGGCAGCCTGGCCGCGGAGCGCGTCGTGGCGCAGCGCGCCGCCTGGCTGGCCACCCCCCTTGCGCGCGAGCGCGTGGCCCTGGCGCTGACGCCGGCGCGCCTGTACGCGCAGCCTCGGCACGGGCTGCAGGGGCGCAGCGTGCGCAGCGCGCGCCTGGCCGACGTGGCCGCGCTGGCACGGCGCCGCGCCGGGCTGCGCGACGTCGGCCTGGAGGTGTTCTTCGCCGCGGGCACGGGCGGGGGCGGCGGCACGGGGCCCGACACCTGGGGCGCGCCCTCCGCGTTCCTGGTGTTCGGCGACCGGGAGGAAAGGGAGGGGTGGCTGGAGGCCATGCTGGCGCAGCCGGGCCTGGGCGCGGGGCCCGCCGGTCCGCCGCGGGGGGTGTCGGGGGATGGGACCGGGGGGGATCCTGCGCGGACTCCCAGAGCGCTCCTGCTGGAGGTGAGTTGGGGTGGCGACGTGAGGCCCCGAGGGCTCAACACCATGGGGCCTCCCCTCAGGATGTGGGGGCCTGGAGGCCTACACGCATGGTCCCTCAGCGCTGACCCACATTGCCATGCTCCGTGTCCACCTTCACATCTCCCCCTCCCTCCTCCAAAAAAAATCTCAGGCGGGCAGCGAGTGGGTTCGGGGCGCAACGGCTGCCTGGCAGCGCGGGGCCCTGTCCAACTTCGACTACCTCCTGTTCTGCAACCTGGCGGCGGGGCGCTCCTTCAGCGACCTGGCCCAGTACCCCGTCTTTCCCTGGGTGCTGGCCGACTACGCGTCGGAGGCTCTGGATCTGGACAAGCCAGGCGCCTTCCGCGACCTGACCAAACCGGTCGGCGCCCTTAACCCCGCCCGCCTGGCCGCCGCGCGCGCGCGGTACGCCGACATGCGCGACTGCACCGACGATCCGCCCTTCCTGTACGGCACCCACTACTCCTGCCCCAGCTACGTGCTGTACTGGCTGGTCCGCGCCGCGCCGGGGCACATGCTGCGCCTGCAGGGCGGGCGCTTCGACGCCCCGGACCGCCTCTTTGCCTCGGTGGCGGGGGCCTGGACCTCCGCGCTGGCCAACCCTGCCGACGTCAAGGAGCTCATCCCGGAGTTCTACCTGCCGGGCGCCGCGGGGTTCCTGCGCAACGGCCTCGGGCTGGCGCTGGGCGCGCGGCAGGACGGCCGACCCGTGGGCGACGTGGAGCTGCCGCCCTGGGCGCGGGGTTCGCCGGAGCGCTTCCTGTCCCTCCAGCGCGCCGCGCTGGAGGCGCCCGTGGTCTCCGCAAACCTGCACCACTGGCTGGACCTGGTGTTCGGCTGGAAGCAACGCGGCGCCGCCGCGCTGCAGGCGGGGAACGTCTTCCGCCACCTCACCTACGAAGGTGAGGGGTTTGGGGAGTGGACACGTGTGCATTAACTTGTAGGTGGATGGGTTGGGTGACTTTGAATGTGGGGCTTGGGGCGATGCGGGGAGTGTGCATGGGTGGGTGGAGTGCTGTGCGGTCTTGGGTTTATCTGAGGTGGATGTTCAGTGTGCTACTTTCAACCATTCCTGCCCGCCAAGCATTCCGTGACTGCAATCGCTGAACCTCTTTACCCCCAACACCCTTGAAATTAGGCGCTGTGGATCTGGAGGCCATGGAGAAGCAAAACCCGGGGGAGGCGGCGCTCCTGCGCCTTCAGATCGAGGAGTATGGCCAGACGCCGCGCCAGCTCTTTGACGCGCCGCACCCGCGCCGTTTGGTGGCACCTCGCGCGTGGGATGCCAATGGGGAGACTCCGGGTGCTACGCTTGCCCCATCACTATCGGTTGGAGGGCCTGCGCCCATCCCTTCCGCCCCCACAGCCACGAGCGACGGCATGGCGGGGCTGTGCCTCTCCCTCATGGCATCTGTGCTGGCGGCGAGGGAGGAGGAGGGCGCGAGGGCGGAGCCCTTCACGGACGACAGCCAGCTGGCGCTCCTGGACGCCCTCGACCTTGCGCCAGGGTCTGTTGGAGTCGTTGAGGGTGGCGACGGGGCGGAGGACCTGGGCCTTCGCGGAGGCACAGCCCCCTCCGACACTCAAGATCAGCACCCGGCCTCGCCAGTGCTGCCACCACTGGCGAGAGCTCCCGGCGTGTCGGCCCAGTGGCCGCCCGCCCCCGCGCCCGCTGGCGTCGAGCCGGCCCCCTCCCCCGATCCGCGGGCGCGGCTGGGTGCCTTCAACGCCGTCTCTGCACGCCTGGGGTCCCTGAGAGCCGCCGCCCTGGACGCGGCGGCCGCCTCCCGACCCAGCTCCATGTTCCGCGGCCTGTTTGACCGCAGGGCGTCTGTGGAGGCTGAGGCGGCGGCGGAGCGGCGGCCCAGGGGAGTCCCGCCACACCGTCGGAGTCTGGGGCTGAGCCCGCCGAATCGCAGCAGCGTGCTGCGGCAGGGGCCGCGCAGTCGGCAGGCCGAGTTCAGTCAGCAGAGGAGACGGGCCCCAGCACGGCAGCAGGACCGACAGGCCGCCCCAAGTCCGTACAGCCAGTGGGTCCCAAAAGGGTCTCCTCACCGGAGGACGCGCCACTGCACCAGACTCCCCTGGTGTGGAAAGGACGGCGGCATGGGGCAGCCGCGTCCGCCGCCCCGCCATCTTCCTCCGGCAGCGCGTCCCCGCTCTCATCCCTGGACAGCGACTCCGAGGAGGACGGGGGCCCAGGCATGGTAGCAGAGACTGAAGCCCCTGCACCTGCTGCGCTGGCGCCCTGGTGGGACGACCTCGTGACCCTGGCGGTGCCGCCAGGGCTCGCCAGCCCCCATGCCTCGCCGCAGGCCTCGCCCCGGCCCCGGGACGCCAAGGTGCTGCATCGGCTAACATTTGGCCCGGCGCACGGGGTCACTGCACTGGCGGTCGCAGCGGGGGACGGCGCCAGGAATGGAACTCCGACAGCCTTTGCCGCGACGCAGTCCGGCCAGATCCGGGCGGTCGAGCTGGAGAGCGGGAAGCAGGTAGTTCTCTTGGGTGGCTGGGTTGTTGGCTGTTGTTGTCAACAAGCAGGATGGCTCTTGCGTCGTCCGAGCACACACATGTGTGTGGCCCGCCCCGCTGAACGCTGCAGCCCCGCGCTGATTTGGTGGGCAGGATTCCCTTTTCCTGGCCTGCCGCCGCTCCACCCACCTCAATCAACCCCACCCTCCCAACCCTAACACCGTGTTCCGCCCTATCCCAAGGTGCGCTGCGCGTCGCTGTCCGCGCAGCCGCTGACGTGCCTGGCCCTGGCGCGCCCCGACCCGCGCGGCCACCCACTGGCGCTGGCGGGCGGCTACGACGGCGAGGTTCGTGCCTACTGCGCGCGCACTGGCTGCTCTGCCGGCGGCTGGGTGCCGGGGGACGATGCGGTGAGCGCGCTGTGCACGCTGGGGTCGGGCGTGGTGGTCGCCACCGCCAGCGGCGGTCTGGCGGCCTGGGAGACGGGCGGCGGGCGGCATCCCTGGCGCCCTGTCGGGCGGAGCCTGGGCGGCGGGGGCGCCGTGCTACCCCTGCTGGACCTGGAGGGCCTGCAGGGCGAGGGCGCCTGGTCTTTGGCTGCACTGCCCGCGGGCTCTCACCCGGGGCCGCTGATCCTGGCCGGCACGGAGGCGGGCGCGGTGCTGGGCTGGGACCCACGACGCGGCGGGGCCCCGGCCTGGCGCTCCGTCTTGGGCCAGGACATCGTGGCAGGGCTGAGCGTAGACGCCGGCAGCGCCCCTCGCGTCAGCGCCGCTGCGGCCGACGGCCGGCTGCGCCTGCTGGACCTCCGGCGGGGTGGGGCGGTGATGGTGAGCGCGGCGCTGGGCAGCCCCCTGCTCTGCGCCGCCTGCCCAGGACCTGGCTGGACGGCGGCGGGGGACGAGGAGGGCGCGGCGTGGCTGTGGCGCGCGCCGGGGGGCGGGCGGCCGGCGCGGGCCTGGCGGGGCGAGGCAGGGGACGCCCTGAATGCTCTGGCCCTGGGGCCGCCGGGCCCGGATGGAAGCCCACGGGTCGCGCTGTTCGGGACTGAGGGAGGTAGCCTCCTGTGCGTCGATCTGGGGTTGTAAAGGTGATTTGATCCATGGCGCTGGCCCAGGATGGTTTTGCTGGCACACGACCATCCACGCTCGATTCTGTCCCTTTCACGTCAGGCTGACGATACTTCCGGGGAACTTGCGTGAGCCCCCGAGAGGCATTCGTTCGCGCATGGATCGGTGCACCCGTGGAGCTGGAACAGCACTTCCAGAGGCATGAAAATCGTTTCTGTGCTAGAGAAAGCAGCGACCTTTGCTCCTCGACTGGCAAGCAGCCGGAGATCACATACACGCACCGTCATGTCGGCTGGGAAGATCGTCCACTGGCAGTCTAAGAACTGCCCCTACGCACAAAGGTAGGGTATAAGATGCGATTTCCGTGTTTGTGGGCATGTGGGACCGACGTCGAAAGCTGGCTGTGTACAGTGGGTCTGTGTGGGGGCGAAGTCATGATGAACCAACAACTCTGCGGTATGTGCTCCCATGCAGGTCCTGGATCACGCTCCTGGAGAAAACCCTTTCATTTGATATCAAAGAAGGTGAGCGAATTTTGGGTCAATGGGATCGTGGGAGGTATACCTGCTGCAATGAACAGTGAGATGCGACCGTCTCGGATTCATGCTGAATCCGGTCCCACTAAAAATGCCCTCGCCCGCAGTGGACCTGGAGAACAAAAGTGATGAGTTTAAAGGTACGAAGTGTTCAGAGCTCTTCGCGTTGGCTGTGTAGCACAAACTTCCCACTGCATACCTGACTTGGGGTGCGGCATGCGCGTGAACTGGCGGCTCCGCAAGGGATTTCCTCCCCTCCTCCAATTGAGGAGTCAGCCACCCCCTTGACTCGCTCCCCGCATCCCTCACATGCCAGCCAAGTATGCGTCCCTGCACCCGGGCCCCGATGCCCCTGCCAAGGTCCCCATCCTGGACGATGCCGATGGCACAGCCCTGTTTGAGAGTCTGGTGGTGGCATACTACCTGAACGACAAGTACCCAGAGCCGGCTCTGCTGCCCAGTGAGGCAGCCGCAAAGGCAAAGGTGGGAGGCGTGCGTGAGGGGGCCTGGCTCCTCTGCGTGTGGTCTTGTGTCTAGAGGCATGGACGCGTCTGGACCCCCCTTTGTGGCATGCCCCAGTCACCATGTCGTCTCTTCGCAATCTGGAGCAGGCAGCGTGTTGAGAATGACCGCAGATGACCGTCAGCTCTTCCCCCCCCTCCATCTCCACACCCTCTCCACCCCGCCCTGCAGATCAGCCTGTTCATCGAGCTCTTCCCCCCATCCATCTTCAGCAATGCCTTCAGCCTGGTGAAGGCCGAGACCAGGGCACAGGTGGCCGAGCGCCTGCCAGCGCTGGTCCAGGGCCTCAAGGTGCGTGGCCATGATTGGCCGTCGCTCAGAACTATCGTCACATAACCGCGCGCACAGTGGTCCCCATCATGACTCACTCCACGGCACCCCATTCCCCAAACCGAACCGCACAGACCGCAAACGCCCTGCTGACCAGCCTGGGGTCCTCCGAGGGCGGCGACTACTTTGCGGGGGCGCAGTACACGCTGGCCGACATCGCCACCTCCCCCCTGTACCATCGCGCCGTGCACCTGCTGAAAGGCCACCGAGACATCGACATCCCCGCCATCCTGCAGGAGCACAAGCTGGACAGGTGGCACTAGGGTCTGGAAGGATGGGCTGGAAAGGGCGGAGTGCAGGGTCGATGTGCCGTCATGGCCATCCTGAACAGTCGGTGCCGTGGCGAGGCGGCGCATGCCTGCGCATCTTGAGGTTTGGTATGCACACATGAACTCGCACACCCTCATCGCTCCATCTCCCAGGCTGGCGGCGTGGTCGAAGGCTGTGCTGGAGCGCCCCTCTTTCCAGGAGACCGCCCCTGATGCCGAGGTGGTGATCAAGTCCATGGCAAAGTTCGTGAACCCCCTGTCTGATTGATGGAGGGAGGGTCCCCCACCAGCCGGACAGCTGTGCTCATGAAGGTGGCCTGTGCCTGTCTGGCTGGTGGCCTTGCCTTATAATGTATCGTAAGGGATGCAGGAAGGCAACGGTGTAAACATGGGATAACCTCCAAGAACTAGCTGGCACGCCTGGCCTCCTCTGAACTTTTGCTGTGCGGAGATTGAGGGCTGATGCGTGTAGCGGTTGGCTGGGATACACTCTAGTTGTATAGAACCGGGAGGAACACACACCGAGTGGTGGATGGTGCGCCTTCGCGATTTACAGTGCGCGCCCCACCACCTGGGGTCCAAGGGCACCTAGTTTCGGTTATTTCCGCTCTTGCGATTCGAAGTTTGGGAAATTTTGCTGTTGCGCTTTGGCTTTCGGACGATTTCGCTCTTGCGATTCGAAATTCGGGAGGTTCCGCTCTTGCGTGTCGACATCTTCTGCGCCGACGGCACCATCGGAAACACCGACTGCAGGGCCCCATGAAGGCGAAAGGGAGGTTCGCCGGGCAAAATATACGTGATACAATGGCGCAGACCACATAATTTTACACGGAGGGTGCACCATGATGATGCACCAACATCAGTGTGCCTTGATGAGGATCTCATGCGCGAGGTGCACACATGTCTAGCACCGGGAAGAGGGTATTCAGTGCATGGCACCTTGCACAGCAACGAATGGCTCCACACGGATGACGCTTCATAGATTCATCTTGCTGCGCCGCAAGTAGTTGGTAGGAGTGGTACTTCACTCCCGAAGGGTCATGTTTCATGCGCATTCATGCTGCAAGGGTATAATTCGATGCGATTTACCTGTCCAGCCGGTTATGTGAGCCGTTTGATCATGCTCCGCGACGCCAGCTGCAGTGCTCCATGGAAGGCGAGCCTTCTGCAGATACGAGAGCGAGGACGCACGATCACACACATTTTCGCTGCAGGTACAGATTATCAGCTTACCCGGAGCACTGTCGAGCGAGTGCCATACTTTCAGGATGTCGGCAGCTCGTAAAATTACCCATTGGATGACCCCGGCATCAAGCCATGCACAGAGGTGGGTTTGCTGCAGTAGATTTACCACAGAAGGTGGTATAGGATCAAAAGTAACATCAATGAAACGTTAAGAATTGAGACGAGGGTTGGCCCATTGTCGTCATGTGTACTGCGTCCGTGCCATTGTGGACTGTATTACATGACCTGGCCACCACTCCCACATCCACAGAACCCACATCGTACTTCTCGAGAAAAATCTGGAATTTGAGAACAAGATAGGTGAGGCGATGGGAATCATACCATCCGATGTGCTTCAATGACGCATGAGTCGCAAGCCATGGGGCATGTGCCTCTTTCCTCATCATAGAGATTTCCACCTTTTCCGCCCGTGCTGCAGTGGACTTGACCAACAAAAGCGACGAGTTCAAAGGTCGGTGAGGCCTTGTGGTAGATGACCGAATGTGTTGATTATAAGCCCTAGAAATGATCAGTCCATGCAGATTATACTGCAGGCTTATTTGCAGTAGATATGGCCTGGACGGCTCAGTGGTCCACTATTACAAGTCTCTTCCCTGACCCAATGTTCCTCACTCGCTGCTTGTCACAGCAAAGTATGGCTCTGTGCATCCCGTACCGGGTGCATCGGCCAAGATCCCCATCCTGGAAGATGTGGATGGCACCACGCTCATCGAAAGTTGGACCATCATGCATTACTTGGAGTACAAGTATCCCGAGACCCCACTCCTGCCCAAGGGTGCCGCCGAGCGAGCAAAGGTGTGAGTAGCAGTCTGTGGGCCCCGTACCTGGCTGACAATACCTGTACAAGCACACTGTACCACTTTTCTACAGAGCTGTATAATTTCATTCAAGCAAGCCGCCAACAGAACTCTCTGAAACTGTCGTATGCCCCTCGTCTCTCCCCCCAACACAGATCGAGCTCTTTGTGCAGCTCCAGGGCGCCAGTCTGTTTGAAAGATCGTCCGCGATCCTGAAGGCCCGCACCCAGGCCGAGCTTGCGGTGGCCAAGGCGGGCTTCGTTGATGCGCTCAAGGTTCGTGACAAGACGGAGTGAGGCAGTGCCGATCTCACTCAGGAGGCTGTGACCATATCACCTTGCATGGTGCCTGCACATGATCTTGTGCTTGTGGATGTGGAGCGTCCTGCGAGGCGGTCCTGTCCAGTGCATGGTCAGCTGTACACCTCGGCCTCCAAGCGCCGACCATGTGCAGGTCCTGAATGCCGCACTGAGGACGCTCGGCTCGCAGGATGGCGGAGACTACTTTGCGGGGGGGCAGTACACCCTGGCAGACATTGCAGCCAGCACCCGCATCTACCGGCCAATAGTCCTGGTGGAGGATCACTTTGGCATGGACGTCCAGAGGCTCATCAATGAGCATCGCCTGGACCGGTGGGCCATGCGACTGGGGAAGGGTTCCTGTGGATCATGCCTGTCGGCCGCTCCTCTGTGATTGCTTGTGCAGGGATGCATGTGGATGCAGTCAGGCCTGGCTCTCATGCTGATCTGTGCTGTGTGTCTGGGAAGTGCATGAGGCGGTGAGTTGGTGTCCACTCAAGTCTGCTCCAATGCTCCTTGACACCACTCTCATGAACATGGATCCCCCAGGCTGAAAGCGTGGCTCAAGGCCATTTTTGAGCGCCCCACTTTCAAAGCGAGCATCCCCAGTCGTGCAGCCATGTCTGAGAAGATGGGCAAGCATGTCGTCCCCCTCGATGGCTGAGGTCGAGCTCTGAAGAGGGGATTGTCATGCGCAGCACCTGCCCTTTTGGAAGCTTTCTGGCCTGAGACCAGAGCACATGGCAGCTGCAAAACCCAATGCAGGACGCAGAGGTGGCTGATCATCCACAGCATGTGCTAGTGCGTCCCTCTTCTTCACGCTGGGCATGCAGTCTTTTGCTGGAAGACCACCCAACCCCTTGGGCCCGAGAAAGTGCAAGCTTTTCACGAAACAGATCACAGGATTCAACTCTTGAATGACAAACTGGTGGGGCAGAATCGTCAAGAGACGCAGGCCTGCAGCTCCTCGTAGGCCAGCTGCACGACCTTGAAGCGCTCCTCCGCCGCCAGCCTCGCCTCCTCCCCCCTTCCCCCCCACTTGTCGGGGTGCCCGGCGCCCCCCCCCCGCCGGTAGGCGGCGCGCAGCGAGGCGTGCGTGACGGCGGCCCCACCTTCGATGCCCAGGGTGCTCAGCGCGGACCGTGAGGCGTCGGAGGAGGCCAGGCCCGACCCGCCGGTGGCCGCCGCAGCAGCCTGCTGTGCGGCGCAGCGCGCGGCGGCCGCCGCCGTCTCGGCGGCCAGGCCTGGGGTGCCGGGCGCGGCGCGCTCCGCCTGGCGCCAGGCCAGGAAGGCCTCGGTGTGGCGCCCCAGCCGCGTCAGCAGCCGGGCCTGCAGCGCCAGCGCCCGCGCCAGCCCGGGGGCTAGCCGGAGCGCGGCCCGGGCGTCCTCCAGGGCGGAATCCAACGAGTTGCGCGCCGCGCGCGCCGCGCCGCGCCGGGCATGCAGCACCGCGCGCAACCCGTCCCCCGCGCATGCCAGCAAGTGGTCGAGCGCGGCGCCGCATGCGTCCGCAACGTCCTCCTGGATCCCCTCCTCCTCGGCCGCATCTGCGGCCGCCAGCAGGACTGAGATGGGGGCCAGGAACGCCGCCAGGTCCTTCATTTTATCCGGGAGGGGCGGGGGGCCAGGCGTGCGTGCCGGCTGCTCAGGGCTCCCAGGCTCCGTGGCATCTTGGCCGTCGATCACGCTCCCTCGCTCTGCTGCAGATCTGGAGCCTTCTGTCATGGCCTCGTGCCCTGCGGCCCTCCTCGACCCATCAGTCGCATCATCCGGCACTGCCGCCGCCCCACTCTGGCCGCCCTGGCCCAGCAGGGTCAGGGCAGAGGCCACATCCCCGCGCCGCCACGCCACCTCAGCCCGCAGGTAGTCGGCGTCCAGCCCCGGGTCCATGCCGGCGACGGCCGCCCCGGCGTCCTCCCAGCGGCCGCAGGCGATGGCCGCCTCGGCCAGCGCAGCGTGCGCAGCGTGGGAGCCGGGATTCGCCCCCGCCACGGCCCGCGCCGACTCCAGCGCCGCGGCGGCCGCCTCCGGGGCGAGCGGCCGGCGGGGGATGCCGGCGCGCAGGCCACGCCGCGCCTCCGCGCGGTCCCTGACCCGCCCCGCGTCCGCGCTTTCCAGGGCCGCCCGTGCGGCGGCCAGGCCCCGCCTCGCCGCGCGGGCGGTCGACCCCTCGGGGCTCCCCATCTCCGCCAGCTGCAGGGCCAGCGAGTAAGCCTCCACCGCCGCGGCCGGGTCCCGTGATCCTGCTTGGGCCTTTGCCAGGCGCAGCGCGGCGCGCGCGCTGCCGGGGTCGAGCCTCAGCGCGTCCCGGGCGTCCTCGGCCGCCACCCCAAACCTGGCCAGCTTCAGGGCGGCTGCCGCCCGGTTGGAGTGGTAGGCGGGGGACGAGGGCCAGAGGCGTATTGCCTGCGTGAACTCCTCGAAGGCGGGGCCCGGGTTTCCGGCGGCGAGGGCGGCCGTGCCGGCGTCGTTGTGCCTGCACAGGGGGGGTAGGGAGGAGGGAGAGGAGGACGGTGATTCAAGGGTTATCTGTGCCTTGCGCAGCCCTTGGGACCCCAAGAAACAGGGCTGCACCTTGGTGGCACAAGCCATCAGCGCACACGCTCAGCGCACAGCCCGTCCATGTCCTGCCGGGACCAAACGCGGCAGCACCTGTCGGCACGCTCCCGGTCCAGCTCGCCATCCTGCCACCAGCGGGGCTGGTAGTCTGGCGCGCGCTGGGCTTGCCACATGGCGTCCAGCACTGCGGTTTCCTCCCGAACACGCTGCAGCAGGGCGACCACCTCGGCTGCCTGCTCATCCCCGAGGTCCAGGCCCTGCAGGCGAGACTCCAGGGTGCGGAGGCGGTGGGACCGCCAGACGGCTCCTGCCTCGCCTGGCGAGAGGGGGAGAAGGGGAAAGGGGTGGGAGTGAAGGTGCACTGAGGCTTTGGGGGGTGCACATCATTGTAAGATGGTCCTCGAGGCATCCGCACATCGAGGGGAGACTTACTCGCAATACATTCATGCAGCACCCACTTGCTGACCTTCATCGAGGGGTCGGGAGGGGAGCTCCATGACCCACCAGGGGCTACGCCCTACCCACGGTGTTGACCTTGACCTGTGCCAAGCAAAGATGACGAGCGAGGCCCATCGACGTGCAATGCTGCCCCTTATATATCATTTGTCCTCGCCATGTGCTGCATGGAACTGCTTCCCTGCCACAACATTGAATCCCGCATGCTCCGTGATCATGGAGACTCGGAATTGTATTTTGGTTTGGGTGATCCATGTGCTCATTTGGATCCGGACAACGCCCCACGATCGGCTGCGACCCCTGATTGCGCGAGCACTATCATCCGTCCTTGTCGACTATCTGCAACCCAGGTCCTTGCCACGCCCGTGTGAGGCTGTGGTGACACGGCAATCACAACTGCGCCCGGAACTGGGTGGCGAACCCCCACACCAGAAGATGCCTCTGCAAGCAGAGGTCACTGCCGCAGAGCACATGGATCTCTTACAGAAACTCAAAGATCCGCAAGTACTCAAGGATCTGACAGAGGACGCTGTGGTCTGGGCCACCCAGCACGGCCTGGTGAGGATTGTGTGGGTGGGGGCAGGGGGGGATCGATCACATACCGTGCTCCTCTGGCGCTCCTGACAGGCCCCGCACGGGTCTCGTGTTGTCTATGCATGGTCTTGCAGTCGGCTCGCATCCGCAAAGGATTGCATGTGCTGCACCTGAGGGGTTCTGATTGCCCCTCTCCCTGCCGCCACACCACCCCCGGCACCTTGAAGCGTTCGTGTCGCCCTAGGCCTGGTCGCCTGACCTGTACTGGCCCAGCAGCCATGCCCCCCACGCAGTCCCCCCCCACCCCCTCTAGGTGATGGGCCTGGCGACGCCCACGCCCGCCGCGGCGGTGGTGCATGCGCCGCTGGCGCTGACCCCGGTCCCCTTCCCCGCGGGCACCTTCCGTGAGGCGGAGGCCGCGGCGGGGGCCTTTGCCGCGCTGGTGGACGCGGTGGCGGAGGACGACGCCTACCTGCTGGCCACGCTGCGGCCCACGGCCGCGCACGACGACTTCGTGGCGCGCCAGCTGGCGCTGCTGGAGGCCACCGCGGGGCCCCGCGCCGCGCACCGCGGCAGCCAGGGCGTGCTGGCCCACCTGCGCTCCGACTACATGCTGCACACGCCCACCGGGTCCCTGCTCCAGGTGGAGATCAACACCATCGGCGTGTCCTTTGCCTGCCTGGGGGGCCTGACCGCCTGCCTGCACGGCCACCTCCTGGGCCGGCTGGGCGCGGGCGCCGCCGAGCGTGCCGCCCTGCCCCCCAACGACGCTCTGGACCAGTTGGCGGACGCACTGGGCGCGGCGGCGCAGGCCTATGGCGTGGAGGGCGCCGTGGTGGTCATGGTGGTGCAGCCCGGGGAGCGCAACCTGTACGACCAGCAGGTGGGTTGGGGTGGGGGTGGGTGGGTGGGGGGGCAGAGAGCTGGGAGGGGGCCTGAGAGGGGTCAAGCACAGGCGACTGCTGTTCGTGTTTCCTGTCTGCGGGCCCTGCTCCATACACCGCTGACCCCCCCAAATCCCATGCAGCCCCCTCTTCACACCTCACTCCCATCCATACCCCTCTGGGTGACGACAATGCTCCCATCCCCTTGCCTGCCATCGACCCCCACCCCACCCCCCACCCCCTTGCCACAGTGGGCCCAGACGCGGTTGTGGGAGCGGCACGGCGTGCGCACGCTGCGGCGCACGCTGAGCGAGCTGGCGCGCGACGCGGAGCTGGGCGCCGACCGGCGCCTGCGCGTGGGCGGCGCCGTGGCCGCCGTGGTCTACTTCCGCGCGGGGTACGTGCCCGAGGACTACGCGGGGGAGGCGGAGTGGGCGGCGCGCGAGCGCGTGGAGCGCAGCGACGCCTTCAAGTGCCCCTCCGTGGCCTACCAGCTGGCGGGGGCCAAGAAGGTGCAGCAGGACCTGGCGCGCCCGGGGCAGGTGGAGCGCTTCCTGCCGGACGAGGCGCAGGCCGCCCTGGTGCGCCGCTTCTTTGCCGGGCTGTGGGGCCTGGAGGACCTGGCAGACCCAGACACCGCGGCGGCGGTGGGCGCCGCGCTGCGCGACCCCGGCGCCTTCGTGCTCAAGCCGCAGCGCGAGGGCGGCGGGCACAACCTGTACGGCGCCGAGCTGCGCGCACGACTGGAGCGCGGAGGGCCGGGCCTGGGAGCCTACGTGCTGATGCAGCGCATCCTGCCACCCATCAACCGCTCGGTGATGGTGCGGGGCGGGGAAGCCGTGGAGGCCGACACCCTGTCGGAGCTGGGCATCTTCAGCGTCCTGGTGCGCCGCGGGGGGGAGGTGCTGGTCAGCCGGGGGGCGGGACACCTGGTGCGGACCAAGGCCGCCGAGTCGGATGAGGGGGGGGTGGCCGCGGGGTATGGCGTGCTGGACAGCCCCTTCCTGGTGTAATGGCGGTGCCGGGCTTTGGAAGTGGGAGGGGGGGGTGAATGGAGGGAGAGGACAGTGGGGAAGCATCGTGAATCAGTGTGAGGAGCAAGGGGATGCGTGCCTCGTAGGAGGTGACCAGCCAACCCTGGGAGGGATGTCCTGCACGAAAGTCATTCCCGCCATGCACCCCCTCGGAAACTTGAACCGGGGAGGGGGACCTGTGGAGCGTCAAATTCGCCCCAGATCCGCACGCACGCACAAGCGACGCGCACCTTGGATCTATACAATTACCAAGGGATGCACCTTTTTACAGGATAATTGTGTTGATAGCGGATCGCCCGGGACCCATTCCCAGGGCCGGCCGGGATGAAGCCGAGGCGAAACGGCTCCCCGCGACCCGGCTGGCACCGGTATGGCCTCGCAGCCTGGTTGCCCACCATCTTCATGGCGCTGACCATGCTCGTCATGTTCCACAGGGGCCGGATGGTGGGCATGGGCCAATGGCAGCCAACGGACCCCTCGCCCAGGGGGACGCTGGAGGTCCTGTCCTCCACGCTGCCATTCGGGGAGCCGGAGCCGGATCGTGAGGTGGAGGTAGTCGAGGGGGAGACCCCTCGGCCCAGCGTGGCGGAGCCCCTCTTCCTCTTCATCGGCATCCTGTCGGGGCGGGGGTACCGGCATCGACGCCTGGCGGTGCGGGATGCCTGGTCCAGTAATGCCACCAGGCACGGCGCGGTGGTGGCCAAATTCGTGCTGTCGGAGGACGAGCGCACACCCCAGGTGGAGAAGGAGGTGGACAGCTTCCAGGACATCATCTTTGTGGGGCAGCGCACCAACTACAAGAGCATCCTCTACAAGACCTACCACGTGCGCTGGTGGTGGGGATGGAAGGGGTCGGGCTTGCTGGCAGCGCAGATGCGCATGCCGTCGTGTCTATGTTCAACCATGTCATGAGCATGCAGGGAGAACCGGCCCATCACATACAAGTATACTGACCGCACCTGCTTGGGAGCTTCCTGCAGTGATGTCCTTATGATAGCTCCTTCCATACAAGCCATCAACGCACCCTCTGCTCCACCTTCCAAGCTGAGCCTCCTGACTTTCACTCTCACGTAGGTGCTGGAGTATGCCGTGCGACACTACGACGTTAAGTTTGTGCTGAAGACGGACGATGATGCGTTCATCTATGTGGCGCCCCTGGTGGCGCAGCTGCGGGCCCTCTGCGAGCACCCCGACTGCGAGGGCGAGCGCATCTACATGGGCCGCATGGCGCACCACTCGGAGGTCCTGCTGCAGCAGGGGCACAAGTGGAATAACGACATCTTTTACAACCACACCGGTGGGTGGTAGTTTTCTTTCTGGGAGGCAAGTCTGCGCGGAGGGAGCCCTGGAATCAGGAGCGTGTGGCTCACAGGACCCCTCCGCGGCGATCTGCATGACCACTGCCTGCAGCATGTGGTGTTTGGATTGCATGGTAAAGGCTCCTGGCTCGCTGCACCTGACCGGCATCGATCATCAGCCGTCCGACGGCTGAACCTGCTCCATGCGCACTTGAGTGTGCATGTTGAGTAATTGCCCTGGTACACACATTGGCTCATCATCCAGCGCGTCGGGTTTTCCCTTTCTTGACTCTGCTACCCCCCTCTCCCCGACAAACACCGCAGGCCTGAAGACGTACCCCACCTACGCCATGGGCGGCGGCTACGTGCTGAGCGGCGAGGTGGCGCGCCTGCTGGTGGACACCCACGAGCGCATGTCCCTCAAGTTCACGCCCATCGAGGACGCGACGGTTGGGTTCTGGGTGTCGGCCATGGACCTGCGCCAGATCGACCACCCGCGCTTCTACACCTGGGCAGCGCCCTGCTGCTTCAAGGCCCCCGTGCGAAAGGCCGGGCGGCGCGTGGTCACCCGCTTTGCGCTGGACCCGGAGTTCGAGCGCGGCCTCTGCTCCGACGACCCCTGGCTCATCCTGCACAAGATCGACTCGCCCACCAAGATGCGGCACGTGGGGGCGCGCGTCGCCAATTGCACGCGCCCCGTGGACGGCCTGGCGGCCTCCATCAAGGAGCACTACCCCCCCGCTGCGCAGGGTGAGGGCTGGGGGGGTGGATGAGGGGGGGTTGCAGGGAAGGAGGAGGGGATTGCAATGGGGTCTGTGACTTGATGGGGGGGCACTCCGCTGGGCCCCTGCGAGGGGGGTGACAGGGAGGAAGAGAGGCCGACCGAGACACCCCTCCCCGCATCTCTTCGCCGCAGAGGAGATCGAGAGGAGGCAGAGGGCCGCGCAGCAGATCGCCGCGCTGGAGGGCAGCATGGAGGACGAGGCGGTGGAGGACGGCGCCGACGTCGGGCAGGCGGACGGGGAGGGGGGGCGGGAGGCCGCGCTGAGGCACCTGCGAGAGAGGAGCGCGCGACGGCAGCGCGAGTCGCGGGACGACGCGCGGTCAGAGCGCGACCGCGCCAGAGCCAGCGGCGTGGAGGCGGTCGCCAGGATGGTGGCGGCACGCAGGGCCGCGGAAGGTGCCGGGCAGGTGGTCGGCGGAGCAGCAGGCGAGGCGGAGGGCGCCGGTGCCACGGACGAGCAGGCGGCGGGCGGCGTCGGGGTCAACCTGGCTGCCGCCGGCGGGGGCGGGGGAGCCACCGTCGACGAGGTGGCGGCCGAGGACGCCAGCGCCGCCGACGCCGTGGCGGCGGATGCCGGCAAGGGCAAAGGCGCGGGCGTGGCGGTGCAGCTGGTTGGGGTGGGCGAGGGCGATGCGGCCGTCAGCGGCCAAGGTGGCGACGCGTCGCAGGGCGTGGCGGCAGCATAATGGACGGCGACTCAGCTGCATCGGCACTATCGCCGGCACGCTTGCCTTTACCCGCACTCAGCATGCCCCAGCCGCCCAGCATCTGCGCCCGCTCGGCGTCCCCAGCCGCCCAGCAAGCCCGCTCGGCGTCCCCAGCCGCCCAGCATCCGCGCCCGCTCGGCATTCCCAGCCGCCCAGCATCCATGCCCGCTCGGCGTCCCCAGCCGCCCAGCATCCGCGCCCGCTCGGCATTCCAAACCGCCTAACATACACGTCCGCCCAGCGCCCCCAGCCGCTGTCATTGTGCAGGATCCCTCACACGCAGTCACCGTCCTCAACGAATCCTTGATCACC